GAGATTGGGGGAGGGGAATGCCCACCTATCTCAGCAGACCTTTTCCAACACCAGATTGCATTGTGCGTGAGTTGCTTCACTACCAAATCCCACAGCTCTCCACCCACATACTCACACACATACACACGCCTGACAGTGCATGCACACAAATCTATTAAGTCTTCTCATTTTTAAAGTACAACCACAAATTTTCAATACTTCTGAAAGCGCACACGGTTGCACAGACCTTGTCGTCTAGCTTACGAGCACTGAAGGAGAGTTCAACGTAATCGTCATTACCAGACAACTCCTCTGCTGTCACCTTTACAGGAGGAGAGAGAGGGAGAAAAGGGGAGGGAGGGGAGGTAGAGAGACAAACAGAGAGGTAGAAAGGGGAGATGAGAGAAAATGAGATGGAAATGAGGAACAGAGCAGGCTGAACAGGCAACATCAAATTAATTATCTTCAGAATGTCTGAGTGCAAAAGGTGGTGTGTGTGTGTGACATGAATGTGTGTGTGTGTATATCTGTTTTGGACTAACTTTGGAAACAGTGTCATACCGTTATGGAAGACTTTCCAGCAGTATTTCCCTGTTTGAGTAGAGCTTTGGTCAGTTTCCTCTGTGAAACAATCTGAAACAAACAGAAACAGACACCAAAAGGTCAGCATGAATATCCCAGCCTTCCTTTCCTCCAAGTGTGTTTTGTTAGGTTCACTTTTGTTATAAAAAATAGTTTTAGAAGATATAAATATGTTTCATTTAAAATAAGATGTTATTGCAAGGTGGGGAAAAAAAAGAGAAAATGTTGCTCACACACCAGTTTTATTAAAAATCTACAAGAACTGATTTTTTGATCAAAATCACCTCTGGGAAAATTTGAACTTTGAGTTTTTATCTTGGCTCATGTCCCATCCTTTAACATGGAGGGGGCAGGTCAATTTTCATATACAGCCTATGGTATAAAAACACCCATTATAGCTGCTTTAAGTATTTTCTGATAGCATGATGTGTATAATATGATGGTGTTACTGACACAATGCCTCTGTGACAAATTTGTCTCAGTTATTGCAACATAACTTTCTGTTAACGTTTCAGTTACTGAAATCCTCATGCACTCCTCTGGTGCTTTCATAATGCACTGGTATAATGTTGTCTTTTTCTTAACAAAGCCAAGGAAAGACTACAGCATCCAGAATGTTGTTGTTCACACTCAGACTAAATGTTGGCAGCAGCTGCTCTGGCTCTCACATTCAAAATCCTCCTCTTCCGTGTGCTCCCAACTATTGCAAATCCACCAGCTTTATGTTGCTCATACTCTCTGACAGTGAGAAGTGTATTCTAGTGGAAAGAAAACTTTTTATTCCCATCCACAGCAGACTGAACCTTAAAGCTATGAAACCCTATTTCCTCTTATTACATATGACATTAGTTGTAATTCCCAGAAATCAAATTATTCTACTTGCTAATGGGTACTACTGCCATTCCAATTTTCACTTTAAAGGATCACAGATATTAAAAGAAGCAGGTAAGTAAAGCAAATCTTTAAATATTGATTACAGCTATTTCATTAAGAGGGGCAACAACAAGGACATTTGTAATAGTATATGCACCTATAAATGCTTGAAAACATAATATACTCTCAGGACTTAACGTAATAAGGACTCAAGGACAATGAAAACACAGATAGTGAGGTCAGCCAGCCTGAAGTGAAGAAGATCACATTAGGATTCCATCCACAAATAATGCTGGCCTCTCTAATCTTATAGTTGATCTTTGACTCTAATTAACCATTGTTACATCCCAATAAGCTCAGTAGACTTTACAACAAATTATATATTTCATTCTATTTTAGTCAAAGCACGTAGCTGCACCCATATGTTCACAGGTCTGACAGTGACTTGCAAGCATGTACGCAGGTACACATATCCCCTACTATATGTTATACACTGGTTAAACGTTATTTGCTGGCTGCAAGTGCACTCATTGATGCAAATAAATGTATCCCTTCCATGCATGCAGAAGCATGATCACATCATATGTACTTCTTATCGTGAAGTCATAATAACATGTGCTCAGATGTGTGCCACATATGAACTTCTCCCACCTGTATACATACTATACAGTGAATACCTGCAAAATGTATACCGGTATGGGACAGTTTATTGCAAACTGTGTAACATGCACTAAGAAATAATTACACTACCATGCTTAGACTAAAGATTGCAATGCACTGCCCAATCAAAAGGTGCACTGACCTGTCCTAGAGTGCACTCCATGGCTCCCAGGAAGTCAGCATCACGGAGGCCATTGTTGCCAGAGCTGATGTCATGAAGTTCATAGCGAAGCCTTTGGACCTCCTCAAAGTAGTAATCCACCAGGAAGACCTTGGAGAAGACCGGGCTGCTGCTGCTGCGGATCACCTCTGTACGGTCTACCTGCAAGTACATGTGCAAACACCATGACAGTCTGCTGCCTACAAAACTTTGCCTGTTATTCTAATTTTTCGACCTGTTTTTTCAAAATTCCGTCAATAATTAGATATATTCTATTTTTCATGTAATACTATGTGTAAGTATTGTTTCATAAGACTGTGCTGTTTTACAGTATTGATGGCAGTTTCACTTTAAATTGAGTAGACTGAAGCGTGTGGATCTCAATCAACACCCAACACACTGCCATTGTGCCTTGATAGGGAGCCTCCGCAGACTTTACAGCATCGTAGCAATTACCACAAAAAGCCATTACCATGTTGTTTACAATTATCAACATGAGAGCTGGGATTATGGATTTTTCTTGATGGCTAAAAAGTCTGTTTGACTACACAAAGAAGCATCAATAGTTGTAACATTGATCTCACATTTTCTTCTCTGTAACGGCCTGACATAAAAAGAAACAGAAATCCAAACAAAAGTCTATCTCGGCACTGGTAACAAAACATATCCAACACTAGCAGTAACAACTGGGTCCCTTTTATTGTTGATACCCCTTTGGCACCGACACACATTCACACATACAGAGACAAACTTGAGTTGCACCCAGCAGACTCAATGTACACACAAAACACACAGATTTGGCCTTGCTTCTACACTTACCTCAGTAGGCTGGCATCTCATTTAAGCTGAAAGAATTGTAAACACACACGCATGCACACACAGAGGCTCAAATGTGCCCAGTAGCTTGAACATTCTCTTTCAATTATTCAATTAAAAGAGTCTGATGAGTGTCTGATGGGCAGTGATACCCTTTGTCCATTTTCACAACTGCACAAAGGGGCTTATCGTAATGCATAGGCACAAATTCTGTCTCAATCTTTCAAAAACACACACATGTGCACACGCACACATGCGCATACACACACACTATGCTGTACAAAGTAGCTTTTTTGTGAACTCTCCAAAGACAGAATAATGCTGCACTACTTTCTGAACACTTGATCTGAAAACTCTGTAAAGCTTGTGTGTGTGTGTGTGTTTGTGTGTGTGTGTGTGTGTGTGCGTGAATGTGTGTATGTAGTCTTCGTGCCTATGATAGTGTGTGTGTGTGTGTGCATGAATGTGTGTATGTAGTCTTCGTGCCAATGATAGTGTATGTCTATGAACGACGTGTGTGGATCCAAGTACATCTGTTAGAGTGGGTCACTGCAGCACTGAATGTGTGAGGATGTGCATGCATGTGTGGGTGTGTGTGACTGTGTAAAGGAAGGCAGGACCCCAGGCATATGTCCGTCTTTGATAAGAGAAACAGAGACAGATGAAGATACATTTGTTCATTTAATTCCCTCTTCCCTCATACTGTGTTCTTACAGTTCAGATAATTCACATGCTAGTGCCAGTGGTGAGGCTTTAGTGGGAATAAGATGATTTTTAAAGCAGGAGATCCTAAAGTTTAAAGTCCCTAAAAGAGCTGCTAGGACTTGGAAGTAAAAAGAGAGGATGTGGAACACTTATCAGCAGAGTGCAAAACCAGTCTTTTAAATTTAATTTCCAATTTTAAGTGCTAAACAATCAATACTAGGGAGCTATTTTCTCCATCTATTTGAAACCTTTTATTGCGTACAATGAATCAAATAAAATTACCCATGATTCCAGGGAATGTAGCTTGGCACTCTCATTGTTTTCAATATTTAAACAATTGGGGGCCGGCGACTTGTTACAGAGGGCTAAGATGAGTGGAGAAACAACACCAGAACACTTTTCATTTCAGGGTGACGAACCATGAAATTATGATTTCTGTTGCCTTCCGTGACAATTAGCATTCATAATTTATAAGAAGCAAACATAACCCGCAATTTGGTGAGAGAAGGTTAGCAACAATCACAGCTCTGTATGATAGCTCAGGGCCCTGATTGCACACAATAATTTAGTCAGACATGAATTCAATGCCATGCTTGAATAATTTTAAGTGTTGCCTGCAGAGACATTTATAAGAAATCACCGGTAACAGAACCTGAAAGGCGGTTTTCTATCTGGTTCATCAGGTACTGGCAACATCAGGTAATGGACAAAATGGTGTATGAAAGACATTTTGTTTCACTGAAACTGACAGTGAAATATTGTACTGAATTTTATCAGCTGATATATCTGCTGGACTCGTCCTGATCTTAGACGCCGACTGATTTCATATGCAAGGTGTTGGTTTATTAAAGGACAATTTATAGACTATAAAAGTGACATCAGCTTATTTATTGTTGAAGCACCATGGGGAGGTTTATTTAAGTGATGGGAGTCGGGGGTGAGTTATTTATTTACTGTAAAATAGTCTTTCAGAACTGGAGACACGCAACTCTCCTGCCTCATTCTACGCCATTACTAACCTCAAACCACTGCCCATGTGACTGCATCTTCAGCACTACGCAGGGGTCGGGTTTGGAGAGGGCGTCGCGATCCGAGATCCCCCGGCAGGCGACTCTCAGCTCTACTTTGGTCAGGCACGGAGAGCTGATGAAGCCCAGCGTGGCCTCTGCAGACTCATAGATGTTACTCATGCTGAACACACAATGACACACTAAAAGCAGGAGAGAGATAAAAAGATGAGGTCAGATAGATAGATAGATACTAGATAGATAGATAGATAGATAGATAGATAGATAGATAGATAGATAGATAGATAGATAGATAGATAGATAGATAGATAGATAGATAGATAGATAGATAGATAGATGCATTTCACCTGAACTGTTGTATACCTTGACATGAACAGGTGCAGTGGCCCTGACTAAGCAGACAGCACTTAAACTGTTCAAGGTCAGGACTCTGGAGCCACTGATTGTCACATAAAATCCCTAAATACACAAAACCGTGCACATACTGTACAGTATAAATACAAACACTGCACAGTTATGCACTCACACACAAATCTAAGCACCTTAGAGCAAGCACTGCTGAGTAACCAGTTCAAATCGTCAAGTTTCTCCTCGGGTTTCTGCAGAGCATATAGTGTTTGTTGTCCCTAAATAGAATAATGTGAAGAATCGAATCTCTGTGACACCAACATTTTAATAAACTGTTAATCATGAAATGTGTTCAAAACATATAATACAGTAAGGTATGCAAGAAAATGACCTATCAGCTCAATAAATCTAAAAATATCTGTTCTTTTTCCTTTTATTCTCAGGGAGAGTTCTTGCAATCCAACTCCACCTAAAGTCTATGTAACTCTTGCAAGTATTAAACTCTGTGACATGTTAATTTAAAGTAAGGAAATGTTGAATGTGTCTCAAGGGAGCTTTTGTACATGGAAATAATAATCAATATTACACACATGGTAATATTTAATAGTTAGCATAGGAGAACTTTCTTTATCGTCAAGGCACAACACATCCATTAACCACCCATACATGTGTTTTCAGTTATTCTGCTTAGTTAGAGCTCTTCTCAGGACTATGTGGGTGTCTGCAAACTCAGCTTGATTGACATCTTCCTCACTCTCCTGTTGTTGCACCTGTGTGGAATATTTTACACCTTTACAGTCCATATTATGCACTCTAGTGACCGCAATTGTCAGCATAACACCACCCACCTCCAATGTAAAAAAAAAAAAAGTCTAATAATCCAGAAGTACCTTTAAAGCACTTGCATGGGTGTGCAGGTTCTTTAAAGGAATAGGTCAACATACTAGGAACATACATTCTTGTTGAAAGCCAGAAGACTAAAAACCATTCTTACTTACTGTATGTCCTGTTAAATAACTACAGCCAGGACTCTGTGAGTTTATCTTAGCAGTTAGTAAAACAGCTAACTAGCCTGGCTGCCCAAAGGTTACAAATTCTGCCTCGGAACACTGCTAAGGTTCACAAATTAACATACTGGAAAAATTATTTGTAAAAATTCCAACATGTTATAGTGACATTTAGAGGTGATGACAAGCAGATTTCATTTTTTTCCCCCTGCAGACATAGACAAGCTAGCTGCAGCTAAGCTAAACCAGCTCCTGGATACAGCTTCATAATCAATGGACAGATATAAGAGTGGTATCAGCCTTCTCATCTAACTAAGCAAGAAAGTGAACAACTTTATTTTCCTAAATGTCAAATTATTCTGTAAAAAAATGTATATATAT